TGGGGGAGCTAGTGAGAGCTTTACATTTATGAAATGGTTATGCTCCTCCCAGAGATATTTGGTATTGGCGATCAGTACCTTGGTTATATACGTCATACCTGGAACGTCTTGCATTTACATATTTTGGTTTGGGTATATTATTGCCTCACTGTCGAGGTTTAGGTGGCTTACGCGGCTGTTGGGGTTTTTTTTTTTAGGACAAGCATTTACTGAACATGTGCAAAAATGATACTGCCAGTGAATACTAGTAATCCTATTATGACATTGAGAGGGTTTTCAAAATTTTAAAGTAAAGCAAGGAAACACTGTAGTCATGAGTACGTTAGTATAGGATGATGCTTGTATTTTGTAGTTTTAAACATGTAGCTGCAAGTACTTTCCTTATAGGCCTTGTGGCTTAGCTTTTCTTTAGATATAAATAATAAAACAGGTGTTTTTAATAACAGTCCTTCTCTATAGAAGAAGGATTGTAATACTTTTGCACACGTTATTGTGAAGAATATGACTATGTCAAGGATGTTTAATTTGTGCTTTAGATAGGGAGTTTTGGGGTTTTTGTGTCCAGTCATTAACAAGTTTGATCTTGAGCTTAGGATTTAGTTAAGTGGTAGGGGTGTACCTGTTTGGTATTCAATGTTTTCCCCCGCCCTTTGTTGTGGGGAGACCCATTATATGTTTCAATATGATAAATCTAGTCTTGGTTTATATTAAATTTTTTATATAGGTCGTTCTAAAGTTGAGGGGATGTAGTGTATTTCTATAGTTCACGTGTAAAATCCATGTTTTTACAATGATGTTCTGACAGTTTGAATTTCTTGGTTGATGTTTTTCAATATTGATGTTAAATATTGTGGATGTTTATTCTTCCACTTATACAGGTGTGTGTGTATAGTAATATAATGTACATATCTGTGTTCCTATGTACTTTTATATTTTTGTTTTGTAGTTTATGCATCACCAACTTCTGGTAATTTCTCATTAAGGTTTAATGAGGTAAGGGCATAACCTTGATTGTTTGGTACTTTATGGCTTTTTCTAAAACGGTGCATGTAAATTTTTTTTGTCGGCATGACTTTATTAATTATAGTAAGGGGGGATTTGGTAGGTCATGTTGTTGGATGTGTAACTGGTGGTAATATACCATCAGCTATAGTGTTATTTACGTACTGGGATTGTGTGGTAGTGGAATTTTGTTAATATCCAGTATACTTCTTATTTTATTGATCACTTATACATCCTTGTATTTGTTGAAAGGGAAAATGAGGGGGCTGGGGGACTGGATTATATGAGAATGATTTTTGTATAAAAACTTTCATGTACAATGTAAATACGTGTGACATTCTTTGGATTATATAGCCTTTTGTGTGTAAGAAACTGGATGTATCTATGAATTTAATAAACCCACCTGTATGTTCAGGAATGGGTTGTCCTTCGTGTAGTCTCATGTAAGTTTGCATTTTTTGGGGGATTCAAACAGTTTAAGTTGAACGAGTGTTTTCTTATGTATAAGTTAGTGATGGGATAGGGAACGTGGAGCTGTTTTGTTTCATATTTAATGGATAACATGTCTTAGTTCATGTGACGTATGTACAGCATACATGTATAATGTGTATTGTGTTTTTTAAATAAAATATAAAAAAAAATTCCCTAGATCAAGAGCCCCTTAAGGAAGTAAGTTAAATAACAAAAAAAGGTTGATAAATTAGACACATGTGCAACTCTTGGGTGTCTTTATTGAGGAAACGTTTCGCCACACAGTGGCTTCATCAGTCCATACAAAGGAGAATCTTGAAGAACAGGAGGAGAATGAGGTAATCAGTCCCTCAACCTTGAGTGGATGTGGTCAGTCCATCAATCTATTCAAGATTGATGGACTGACCACATCGACTCAAGGTTGAGGGACTGATTACCTCATTCTCCTCCTGTTCTTCAAGATTCTCCTTTGTATGGACTGATGAAGCCACTGTGTGGCGAAACGTTTCCTCAATAAAGATACCCAAGAGTTGCACATGTGTCTAATTTATCAGTATGACCTCTGGACTTCTGTTGCTTACACTTCTTGATATAAATCCCAGTAATCTATTTGCCTTATTACGTACGCTTAGGCATTGCTGTCTTGGTTTAAGCAGTAAGCAAGTGTTAGTGATTATTACTATAATATCACATATCACTACTGCATCTGTAAGTCATTTATGTTTTATTTATTCTACCTGTTAACATAATTACAACACATTTAATAATAAGTATTTTTAAAATCTTCACTAAAGTGTTTTCCTTATTTTTTTGACCACAATAGTGGTATGTAAAAATTATAAACGTCATTGACTTATCAAAAACCATCAATGTATATCCCCTCGATGGACACTTGCCAGTTATTTTCCTAATAATTTTTGTCAGAAATTATCCAACATTTACACAGTGTCATTCATGATTAACGTTCCTTTCATCGAAATTCTTGTATCAATAATTTAAAAAAAATGTTAAATGTTGATCATTTACAGTTTATGGGTGGATGCTTATTAATTTTTCTATGGGTGAAGAACCGTCTCAGAATTGACCACAATATGATAATGATTTACAGCAAACTAAAACCCAACTTCAGATTTATTTGCTGTTTTTGGATTTACTGTAAAATGTATTCTTGTGTGTTTTTTATATATATTATATATATATATATATATATATATATATATATATATATATATATATATATATATATATATATATATATATGGCATCACTTGGACTCCATCACTGCCCACCTTGGTTCACCAATGACAGGTTGTGACTGAACTAGCAGCCCAGATCATGCGTGTGGCTCAAGGTCCCTGGAGCACCAGCCTTGACCTGCCCACCAAACGAAATTCCGGCCTCATCAACTCCCTTCTCGGTATCCCTAAGGTCATGAATGATGCCGGAAGAAGATAATCATTTCCTAAACTTTCTGTTAAAATGTAAGTAATAATTATGTGATGATCATACGTTCTGTACCAAGTTTCTCTTACAAGATGCGGCCACTGAGTGAGATATTTATTACATTATAAATTACATAGGCATTTCATTCACAGAAAGAGCAAATTATTTAATGTCCGAGTCAAAATATGACCTCTTTTGGACATGTGAGAATACTACACCCTCAATGTGTTTAACATACTCCTCTCCTCAGTAATTTGGACACTTCCAAGAGCTTGATCTCCAAGCTAAAATTCTCTAAATAAGATACTACTTATGTGTCCTACGTATGCATAATCTGCTTCGATCTGTTCCTCCCAGGACGAGACAACTTGACGGTGCCGGTGAGTGGAATCTAACCAGCTTGCAGTAGGTCACGTCATCAATTAATATTCATGGAATAAATGTTGCAGCACTAAAACACCTGTCTCACTTTCCTCTTTTAATTTCTGTTTGTTGTACATCAGTTATTCTGGGGAATATTTTCCTGATATTTTCTCAATGTATTTCTGTTACATTTAGTTAGGTTTATCAGTTATATCTGAAAATGTTTGTTTAGTAATTCAGGATAAACTTGTATGCTCCATAAAAATGCAATACCACGATAACTTCAAAAAAACGCTTATCAAAACGTGGAAAAGAAAGTGTTATTTAAGGAGAAAATCTTTATACAAGGACAAGTTTTATTTTCGCTCGGTGATGAGCTTTTTTTTTTTAACTTACCTGTCAACTTATTTAACCTATATAATGGAAGACAACATTCTCACATGAATATTTGAAAATCACGCTGCTTAACTAATTCGCTTCTTTTCACTGAAAAAACAACAACAACAACAACAACAGTTGTTGTTTTTTAGTGTATGAGTTTTGTCAAACTACAGCTTTAATGTTTCATTTCTAAATATAACCTCATCCAACTTCAATACATTGCTACAAATGTAGTATACTCAGTCCTAATTATTATTTCCTCCAGTTTTCCATAACGGAGTAGATGGAATTTGTCTCCTTTGAACATCTATTGTTTTCCATTGCCCATCGGAAAAACTTGGTTTATATCTTCTTTGGGGATTTGCCGTGTCCTCAATGGATGACACTCTCATGAGGATCCTAAATCATCTGCAACGATGATAGGGTGCTATGGTTTACATCTTTGTCTATGTCTGATGTGAGGATGAGGAACAGAATAGGGGCGAGTACTTCGCGTTGCGGAATAGAGCTCTTCACTATGGCGGCTTTCAATTTAACTCTGTTTACCACTTCTCTTTGTGTCTCGGATTGCATTATGAAAGTTGAAGATCCATCTGCACTTTTCAGCTATCCCTTTATCATGCATTTTGTGTGACTATTACACATGGGTCGCACTTTCAAAAGCTTTTGCAAGTCTGTGTATGCTACATCTGCATTTCTGTTTGATTTCCAGTGCATGCAAGACCATATCATAGATGGTCCAGTAGTTGAGAGAGGCAGGAGCGACCTGCTCTGGACCCATGTTGCCCTGGACTGATGCACTGTAGAGATTCCAAGTAAGCTTGCAATTCCTGCTCTTAGAACTCTTTCAAAGATTTTTTTTTTGATGTGGGACGTTTAAAGCTATTGCCTGTATTACTTAGCTTACGTGCCCCGGCGCCTGGTGCACAAAGCTCTCGTTTCACACGCGTGAGGGTCGGGTTCGATTCCCTGCGAAGGGGTGGAAAACACTGACGTGTTTCCTTGCACCTGTCTGCCTATGTTCACTTATCAGGAAAAGGGGTACCTTGGTGTTAATTGATCTGGTGTGGGTCGCATCTGCGGACAAAAACTGACTAAATTTTTCCCGAAATGTTGCACAAAAGCGACTTTTATATAATAGTATGTCTTTGATGTCAGCTAAGTCTGTTACACTTGTACATGTACCCGTAGTAAAGAAAGATATTATTATATTATTGCTTTGCTGCCATCTTTATGGAGTGGGGCTATATCCGTTGTTTTCATTACTGTGGAATCACACCTGTGTCATGCTCCTCCATAGCATATTTAGGGCCAGTGAAAGGGGTTTGTTGCAGTTATTAATGAACACAGGATTCCTGGAGTCTGGGCCTGGGGCTGAGTGCATGGGCATGTTATCAGTGGCTCTCTCGAAGTCTAGTGGAGTTAGGGTTTATGTCAGAAATTTAGCATACATTGACACGGTTTTAGACTCATTCATGAGAAAAGTTATTTGGATTGTCTATCATTAATAATAAAAAAAAAAAAGGGGCACAATACCGTGACGGAACGATACACAAAAAACCCGCACATAAAAGACAGAAGCTTACGACGACGTTTCGGTCCGACTTGGACCATTGACAAAGTCACACTAACAGAGGAACGAACGAACAAAGTTCAGGTAAGCCCCAAAATGGGATGAGGGGGGAAGGGGGGACAGACGAAAATGTGCTGGAGGAGTGTTTTTTAAAAAAAAGCCAGGGCTTACCCAGAGCTAAAAGTCATCGTTGGGCAGACATTGAGAACACACATAGGGGCTCTTCTTTTTGGGACTCCGGGGGTGAGGGGGGAAGTGTGGACAGACGATAAAAACAGTCTGAGAGGAAGGTCTTAGTTTAAAATAAAGACCAGGCAAAACCCACTGCTTTTGGCACTGCGGGGGCATGTAGAGAGGGCATTTTGAGGCTTTGAGGAGAGCAATGCAGACATGCTCGCACTGATATCTACGGCTGGGGTGAAGAGGTTTGGAGTCGGGTTTTGGGGGAAGGGTGTTGTGTGTTGGCTACATTTTCGCTGGGATGGAGCCACTCTTGAGCTTTTAAAGTCTCTCTTGGACATTGGAATAGTTGCATTCTGAGGTTGGAGCAGTTCAATTTCGTCACGAGGTAAGATAGTGCTTTTTTCAAAAGGAATTTGTGGGGTTGGGGCGGTGAAATTAAACAGCTCCTTCTTTCATTAAGGGAGCATATCAGCTCGCTCATTTGGGTTGGGAGGTTGGGGTGGTGTAGAAGGTTAGAGACCCTTTAAAAAGGTTTGGGTTTATAAGGGTTTGCGTTGGTTTCTTTTTCGACTACTATTTCGTCGTTGTCCGGGGGTTTTTGTTCAAATGTTCTGGATATTTGCTTCTGTGACTGTGTTGAGAGGGGGCAGGGGGGGTTGGGTCGGTTGGATTTGGGGGGGGGCTGGTGGTGGGGGGTAAAGGGGTTTTGGGCGTAGAGGGGGGGGTGTTGGTTCGGAGTAGAGTTTTGGGTCGAGAACAGTGGGACCAGGGTTAGGGAAGTTAAAAATATCTGAATTAGCTTGGGGAGGTCTTGTGAGGAGGCGAGTCTGGAAAGTTAATTTTTGGCATGTTTTTTAGGCGAAAAGTTCATGATTGTCGGTTGAATGACCGGGGTTTGCGCATATTAAGGTGTCATACACATACTTATAGCCCCTTTGGGATGGAACGCGTCGGGAAGAGAAAGAGGGACTGCGGGGTGGAAAAGATTGTTGTGTAGCTTGAAGGATTCGGTGGTACCTGTTTAAATTTTTTTGCAATGGCGGCGTATGTTGGCGATTTAGGGTTGTTCTTTTTGGTTTCTTCAATGATTTTCTTTGACAGGACTTCTTTACTAGAGGGCATTTTGCTGCAAGGGGTGGTGATACCCCTGCAGTTGAGGGAGGTAGGAGAGGTAGTGGTAGTAGAACATTTCCCTTTAAGCATGGGCCCTTTTTTACCGCGTTTGTGCAGTACTTTTTTTTCCCTTTTAAGACACAGGCGTTGAGTGGTGAAGAGTACAGGTCCCGCATGGCGAATGTGGCGAAACGTTCGGGGGTTTATTGACTTGGGTGGGAAAGATAGTAGGGGATGCAGGGCCCTCAGACAGTGCTCTAGTACCATCTCGATGTTGGGGAAGGGTTTCTTGCATTGTAGAGGGTTGGGGATTTTGTGATAGTTTAATCGAAAGCCCAGGAATTTTTTTTCCTCGATAGAGGGGCTTTAGATCCTCATTTAAAAGAAATGACGAGTTTTCCCGCCTTTGCGAAAACGGAACGTTTTCGCCAGCAAAAAAATGAAGGGGAGAGGTGAACTGTCGGTCTCTGAGGTTTCATAGAAGTGTCGGCGATAGCTTTTTGGGGTTCTAATCGCGGGACGACGACGATGAAGAGTCTTTTTGTCATTGATGGCTGAAATTTAACCTGTAGGGAAATCTTTAAACGGGAGCAAGGGAATTTAAGATCATTTATTACTCCACTGTTGGTTTGATCCTTCACGGTTTTGCAACATCGAAGGAGTAAGTCAGGGCTGGTACATGACAAGGTTTTTCCCCCCCCTACGGGGATCAAGAACACCTTGGGTGAGGACGACTGGTCTTACGATGATGGGGTTTGGGGTTCCCCATACATTGTAAAATGCTCCAAACTTCAGAACACCCGTGACAACCTGAATCCCATTTTTCTTCTTTTTTTCTTTTTCTTCTTTCCCCTTCCCCCTTTTTTTCTCCTTTTCTCCCCTTTGGGGTTTTCTTTCCTCCCGTCTCGTGTTTTGTTCCTTCTTTATTTTATTTCACCACTTTTCCCCTTTCCGCACCCCTGTGCCTTGCTCTCCCTCTGTGGGTTTTTAGCTCTCTTGCAGTCTCCCCTTCCTTTGTATTTGACTGGCTCTCTTCCTTATTTCCCACTTCAACCCCCACCACTACTACTACCCCTTCTTTTTCTACTACGTTACGATAAATTAACACATTGCGGCGCTGGTTTTTCTTGTTGTGGGCTTTTTGCCATCCAGTGGTGGCTGGGTGGGGAAACGTCTACGGGGGGGATGCCCGGGTTTTTTGCAGTGTCTTTCATCCTGTCGGTATTATATACAATTCTTGTACTACTACTATACAAATACTACCCCTACTACACCTCCACCTCTTTCCCGCCTATATATAGCCGTCCCGCTCTCCTCTGTTTGTTGATTTTTCAATGGGGCCAATCGGACCGAAACGTCGTCGTAAGCTTTTTCTTTTATTGCGGGTTTTTGTGTATTGTCTATCAATTGATATTTTAGTATCCA